CTCCAAAGCTCTAAATTAAATGACATCTCTCCTTTGCTTAAACCTCCCGATGTCCTCCAGCCTCACCTGAGAATGAAATCCCAATGTCTCACCTTCACAAGGCCCTGCCTGCTCTTTTTGCACCCATAGTGGTCTCTGAGGTGCTGCAAGTCATCAAACCCTGCTTCTCTATTCATGTCTACCCTGGTGTCCTGTATCCTGTTAGGTCTCAGACAGCAGGACATTCAAGATGTACACATGGCACCTAACACTGTCCTGGACCCAATAAACATCTGCCAGATAAACAAGTCACTGTCTCAGCATCCTGACTTTATTGTTCCACCTCTGTTAGTTTTCCTGTCTAGATGTATTTAGAAGTAACATTTTATTTTGGTTTTCTCTGGTTTAAAAAAAAAAAAAAAAAGACACATTTTAATACTTTCTCTCTTCAAGTAACTAATGCCAGACTCACTGCCCAGTCTCATAACATGGGGCATTTAATTGCTGCTTCAACTGCTTTTTTGTTGAGGTATGCATATGTGCATGCTCAGTCATGTCTGACTCTTTGCAACCCATGGACTGCAGCCCAGGTGGCCCAGTTGTTTAAAAAAAAAAAGAAACCTGCCTGCCAATGCAGGAGATGTAAGAGATGTGGGTTTGATTCCTGGGTTGGGAAGATCCCCTGGAAAAGGAAATGGTAACCCAGTATTCTGGGTAATAATTCCAGTATTCTTGCCCAGAAAACCCCAGGGAGAGAGGAGCCTGGTGGGCTACAGTCCATAGGGTCACAGAGTTGGACACGACTTAAGTGACTTAGCACCACACTGGACTGTAGCCCACCAGGTTCCTCTGTCCATGGGGTTTTCCAGGCAAGAATACTTGCCGGGGGGGGGGGGGGTGCCATTTCCTATGCCAGAGAATCTTCCCGACCGAGGGATGGAACCCATGTCTCTTATGTCTCCTGCACTGGCAGGCAGATTCTTTACTACTGAGCGGTATTGCCATTCCTCAAACGCCTTCTTAATGATATACATAATAGACCTGCACTGCCTAGAGAGGCTGAGCTTATCACTATTTTCTTAGCACTTACTGAAACTGTTTTCTATGAGCCAAGACAGCACATGAATAAAACAGTTAAATAGGAATTTTGTCTTTAAAATGTGTAAAGATGGCTAAGTCACCTCTCAACATCAGCCTAGTTAATACAAACAAGAAATTGAATTAAATCTTTCAAAGACAGTTATTTCTTCATTTAATTTCTGTGTTTATAACTTTTTAATTCCCCTGCACTCTAATGTGTGAAATGCATCTTTACCTACTTATGTTTAAAAGACAATTTGGGGGAAATTTTTACCATTAAAATAATAATTTGTCCTGATTGAAATATCTACAAAAAACATTTGGCTAAAAATTCTTAAAAGACATCATTAAACTAGAGGGTCCTTTGTGGTACTGATTCTGCTACAATTCTGGGCAGGTCTTAACTCTGAGCAGTTTTCTGCTAAAAAAAAAAAAAAAAAGGAAGGAAGAAAGAGGAAAGGGAAGGAGGGAAAAAGGAAAAGAAACTGGACTGAATGATTTCTGAAGTAACCCTTCCCACTTAGAATTTTCTTGGTTCTGTTAAGAACTTGCCTTTAATTTACAGAGGTCTGCAAAGCAGAATGGTAATAACAGCTACTGTTTCTTACGAACCCCTAAGCATACAACACGCTACATTAAAATCTTTACATGGGTCAGTTCAATTAATGGAGTTTATGATTATTATCCTCCCAATTTACAGGTAAGAAAACAAACTTAAGCTGGAAAAGTCAGTCACACACACAAGCTTTGTTTGCTTTTTAACAAACATGATCCTCAACTGCCAAAAAGAGAAAGGGCTGAGTAGACAGGAAGGATTTATGAACTCAAAAAATGCAAATCACAATGACACTGCCTTAAACAGATCTCCTGGCAAAGTCTGCTATTTAGGAGGCCTATGCTACATGCCACTGCCTGTAGGACAAGGTAAGCATGTTTATCCTAACCTGCCAGAATCAACAGCTGTAATGTTGAATCCCAACGTTGAATCCCAACGTGTAACATTTATCACGGGTATTTATTCTCTAAATTCAAGTACAAACCTGAGGTACCTCAAAGAAAGAACAGATAATGCCAATAGAATAAAAAGATAATTCAAAACTAACATTTAGACAGGCATCAATGACATCTGAATTTATAGATGTAAATGTTATCCTGAATGTTATCCTATATGTAATATTAACATCAGGATAGTCAACTAAAATTAAATACACCATGGAAACTATACCAAATCACATTTTTAAAAATTATATTTTTCAATTTTTTGGCCACCAGAGTGGCATGTGTGATCTTAGTTCCCTGACCAGGGATTGAACCCAAGCCCCCTGCAATGGCAGCATGGAATCTTAACCACTGGACTGCCAGGGAAGCACCCACAAATCACACTTTTACACAGAAAATTATATCTTCAATCATATCCTCAGGAAAATTAAAAATTTAATGAGTTTTACACTGAGAATTGCACCGTTTATAAACTATTTGCTAAATTTTGCTTGTCTTTTTTCTTATATATAGTTTAAACTTTTTCAATTGGTATCAAATACATTTCCTTTTTTTGACTGGTCAGGTGCAATCTTGGCAAAGCCAGCTTCAGAGCTCAGCTGAAACTAACTCACAGGGATAAATTCCTCAATTGTGAGTTAACAGATGCCGATGAGCAGTTTAAAAAACAAAAATATTTTTGAAGCACTTATACCTCAGTTGGCCTCAGAAATGGCATTTGACAGACTTGATCTTTGTACTTAAAACACTAACATCAAATGATTTTAACAGAGAAACCACACAGCAAGCTAGAGTTTGGGATAACCTAAAAAGAAATGTATCTTCCATCATGACAGGTAAGACAGGTAACCTGTGTTACCTGTGGTTTTGCCCCATTTCTGTGTCTTCCTATGGGACCACTCACACGCTCTCTGATGCTGAGAAATACACCTCCAACTAATAAAATATTCTTTGATACATTAGACAGTTACGGTCAAAGTGGAACATCTGTTTCCTTAAATTGCTCCATGACACAAAATAACACATAAAGAGAATTTAGTAAGTGCTGAGTAAATCAGATGTCACTAATAAATCATCATCAGTCCAGACACTGAAGAATCATTACAAAAATGGCATTCTAAAAAAGTGAATCTAAAATACCTCCCCCCAAATTCCAGTAATTGTATAAAAGGACGAATTATAAATAAATCTGTGATAGTTTCACTAATATATATTAAGGTGGCTATACTGTACTAAAATTTTCATGGCTGACAGTTTGATAAGTCTGCATTTTAACTGTACCCAAACCAAAGCTTAACTGATAGAAAAACTACATGAAAATCCTCAAAGCAGGAAAAACATTTTCTATAGCGATGTGTTACCGAAACACCAGCCCGCGTGCCTGCCGCAGAGGCCAACCACCACCAAAACGTCGGTGTGGAGCACAGAAAGGTTTACGCAGGGAGACGGGAGGCTCAAGCCCCCCAAAACTCCAAACTCCCCAAGAACTCTCAGCAAAGCCTTTTCGAGGGAAGGGGAGAGGGGCGGGTGAGTTGCTGCCAATGTCTTGGTGGCAGATCCTCTTTTTAAAAAATTGATTGACTGTGCCAGGTCTTAGTTGTGGCCTATGGGATCTAGTTCCCTGACCAGGGATCAAACTCCGGACTCCTGCATTGGGAGCTCAAAGTCTCAGCCACTGGACCACAGTCATAGTCAGGGAACAATGCTCCTGTAAACCTCCACCAAACAAATGTTATTCTCGGTTCTGACAAGAAAGGACATGGTTCCCAGGCACAACTGTCACCCTCCGAGATCCAGTCCTGGCTGAAAGGAGGTCTCAGCTGGCGGCTCCCTCAGGGCCTGTCCAACCGTCATTCCTGAGGGAGCCAGCCGCCCAGGGCCCAACCAGCCCTCAGACCACTCTATAGCAGGGGAAGGAGCGTAGGTTCCTCAGACAGTGACCCGCAGTACAGATGGCTCCTGCCATGAGGTCGCAGAGGCAGGGATGGGGGTGACGGCTGCTGCTGCCTCAAGGCCTGGGCCCAGCCAGTGAGCAGCTTTGGTGAGGGCTCTGGAACCTGCAGGACATGGCCCAGCCTGTTCCCTGGGCCATCAGCTCACCTGCTGGCTGGAGGCCAGGTGAGCTGGAGCGCTCCAAGGAAGGCCAGGATTCACCTATTACCTTACTCTCCACCTGATGATCACCATGCTGCCAATCATTAGCTGAGCTGGACCCCTAACAGTCGCTCACTGACAGTTGCTCGGTTGGGGGAGGGGCCCACTGAAGCATGGACCAATGGCTGAGCAGGACCACTAACGGTTTTCACTGACAGTTGCTCAGTTTGGGGAGGGGCCTACTGTAGCATGGACCAATGGCTGAGCAGGACCACTAACAGTTGCTCGCGGACAGTTGCTCTCTTGGGGGCGGGGTCATTGTGGCACCAACCAATGGCTGACCGACCATAAATGGTCTTATAGAACCTGCTGCCTGGTAACAGGGTGGGGGCTCCTTACCTCCTGCAGCAATGGCCGTGTACTAAGGGTTGTACACAGCTGTGTTACATTACATAGGGTTCTATTTTTTTGAGTGGAACAGTAATGATTAAGAAGGAGCTGGATAACAAAGATAAACCTGCCCAGCTACAGTGACAAGTGTTAAAAAAAAACAGCCACAAGAAACAGAGATACCTCTAAATAGACTGAGCCAAAGAACAAGGTATTTCATAGAAAGTATTTTATCATCAGAACAGGATAGCTTCCTGTTTAAGATCTATTTATTGTGTTATTTTTACAAGTAGCAAAGTCCCTCCATTTACCTCAGCTTTATACATGAATATAAAAAGCTACTGATGTCCACGCCCCCTACCCCCCGACCGGGTTAATAGGAGCTTGTGGACTCTTCCTGGCCTTCAGAAGCAGCTGTGGTTTCCTCTGTGACTTGGCCTGGAACTCTAGCACGCTGATCAGTCATCCTCTTGCTGACTCCTTTTCTGTCACAGGAAACCAAGATACATTACAACAGCACATTCTAATTTGTTCAGCCAAGATTGCTTTTTCTGTCAGCAAGTATAATTTCCTAGAGGCCGCTGGCAAAAGATGTGGTTGAATATTATCAATGGAAAAATATGCCTTAAGGAGTTCATTAAAGTAGTTTATCATTTTGGCTCCTGGGCACATTATCCTCAAGACATTTGAACATTTTCTCCTTTTTCTTCTTTATGTGCAAATACTCCTACATAGAAACATAAATACTCACATTCCCCCCAGAGTACCTACAGCAGAGCTCTGATTCGCTCTCAGGCCAGATGACCCTTAAACAACAAGGGTCTGAACTGCACAGGCCATTTTCATGTTGATTTTTTTCAGCAGTAAATACTACGGTACTGAGGACCCACTGCTGGTAAAATCTGCAGATAAAGAACCATGAATGTGAAGTGCTCACTATAAATTATACGTGGATTTTTCCCTGGCTGTTTGAGGGTCAATTATATATACTTTCCTCAAGATTACAAGTGTTATGAAAATTACTCAAAAGCATATATTGTGCTGTGTGCTGTGCTAGGTCATTTCAACTTTGTCCGACTCTTTGCCACCCTATGGACTGTAGCCCGCCAGGCTCCTCTGTCCACAGGATTTTCCAGGCAAGAATATGGAGTGGGTTGCTATGCCCTTCTCCAAGAGACCTTTTCCACCCAGGAATCAAACTGACATCTCTTGCAGCTCCTGCATTGGCAGGAGGGTTCTTTATCACTAGCGCCACCTGGGAAGCCCCAGGAGCATGTACTCAAAAGCATACATATATATAAGTATTTTCTATCATTTTTATCAATAAATTATTTTTTCAGTGTACTTGATGTATATCATTATAAAATGACCTAACTCAGTAATTCTGCCCCTTTAATTCCCAATCATCATACAGAAGTCTATGTGGAATATGACTAAAATGAAATATTAAAGAATCAATTTGAAAGTGGAGATGGCCAGCATACTAAGTACACATAAATGTTACCAGTTTAAGAAAATCGATGAGTTTGTGAGCATCTTCACCCGTCGACAGGTCCACAAAGTCCTTGGGCAGCCGGTAGCTCAGGTAGGGACTCGGCTGGACTGTGACCTCACTGTTGGTACAACGGAAGGCTGGAGCATCCTTCATGAAGGAAAAAAAAGGAGGAGCAGAAGTTGGTGAGAAAGTTTTTTTTAAAAGTCAATTCTTCAAACTGAAAAAGATCCTGGTGTAGAATTTTCAACTCCTGCTCTGTACTAGGGAGGAAAGAAAATCAGATTCCTAAGTGAAAGAAAGCACCAAGGTTTTTTTTTTTAAAAAAACTTTCACATGTTCACAGGAAAATACACATCTAGGGTATCAGAAGACAAGAGAGCCTGGGGGGTGGGGCCAGGTTGCGGCTGCACAGCTGCTGTAGCTGCGAAGGGCTGGGGGTGGGGGTCTCTCTAGGCTTGAGGCTGCCTCAGGCAGTCCCACACAGGCCAGCATGCTTTATAAACTCTGTCACTTTCCATGGGTACACTGCTGGAAATTACTGCCTTAAGAGAATAAAGCTAACAGTGAGGGCAAAGGAGAGCCCCAAACCACTAACACTGTTGCACTTCTCTCACATCACTTCATGTACTCCTTCACAGATTTCTCTCAGCACCAATGTAAAACTGTAAACTCAAAGGTCATATTTAACAAGTCTTCACATTCTTTATTGCACGTACTTAAGAGCCTTGCATGGAATGTTCATGTATCGCCTGGTACCAAAAAGGGTTTCAGAGTCAGAGTCACGGGTTTGGGCTTCATGGGTGGCAGATGCTGAGGTGAGGGATGGATGGTGTCCAGCGGGTGGACACATGCCAGGAACCTGGCTGGAACAGGACAGTGAAGCCCTAGAAAGCCCATACCATACCAAAGCCCATACCATAAGGTATGGCCATACTTAATGACAGACAGCCCAGCCATGGTTCAGACAGTAAAGAATCCACCTGCATGCAGGAGACTCAGGCTTGATCCCTAGGTCGGGAAGATCCCCTGGAGAAGAGAATGGCAACCCACCCCAGTATTCTCACCTGGAGAATTCCATGGACAGAGGAGTCTGGTGGGCTATAGTCGATGGGGTTGCAAAGAGATGGACATGACTAAGCAATTAACACACACACACATGAAACCTCTACTGTCTGCTGGACATTGTCCTGGGGAAGGGAGAAAAACTGGAGAACTGCCACCGAGCAAGCGAATAAATAAACAAGATCATTCCAGAGAGTAAAATGTTGTAAAAACAGGACAGCAAGGTGCTATGATAAAAGGAGATCCATGGAGATTCCTCTTGGGGGTAGGTTGGGTGGGTAGGACCTTGCTTAAGGAGGGGCCATCTGGACTGAGAACTGAAAAGTATGATGAAAAGCAGCCTTGTGAGGTCTGGAAGCGAACTCAGCTTTGGATGCAGTGGAAACAACCAGTGCAAAGACCTGAAGGCCAGGCAGGGATCTGCAGCTTTGAGGAATTGGAAGGAAGGCAGGTCTCTGTGCCTTGGAGGACAGGCAGGAAGGGGTGCTGAGAAAGTCAGGAGCCAGTTCCTGTTGCTCTTCTGTCATCCCTAACCTCCAGCACAAGAATGCTTACATTAAGAAGGAAGGAAGGAGAGAAGGAAGGAGAAAAGGAAAGGAAGGAAAAAAGGAAAGGAAGGAAGGGTGGATGGATGAATGAATGAATTCGGATCATACAGTGAATCTTATACAACTGTTTCTATCCAATAACTCTGTTCCTCTTATTTAAAAATAACCTTGTGCCAAATAATTTGCATTCTTCTTCCCTGACACTCAGATTTAACAGCCCACAACTCTAAGATGCCAGCAGGGATACAATCCCTTCATTCATTAATTCAACAAACCTTAGTTGCACCTCGCACTGTAATCTTACACAAGAGGGACGGGTGGGACTCCACTTCCGAAATAATGGGAGTCTGTGCATTTGAATATACACAAAAAATGCCCAGGAAACCTTAATGATGCTAAGGGCGGTCATTTCTAGGTGGCAGGATTTCAAGTGTTACTTCTTTCTAATTCTCTTAAATGATCATATAAAAACAAACTATTTTGAAGAAGACAGAAAACAACCATGAGAGTATGAAATGAAGAACCAGCAGACAAGGACTACAGACGCAGTGCACTCTCATTTACTTTAAAAAGGCTCATGTTTATGTGTGCAAGGAGGTTACACACCAAAATATAACAGAGGCTCTCAAGGAGGTAGGATCATGGGTGATATTAGAATTTCCTTTAGAAGTGAGCACATATCACTTTTATAGGCTGAAAAGAGCAATACACAGTTGTCTAAAGAGGCGTGGCCATGAGCATGAGGAGAAAGGAGAGAGCAGCTGGGTGCAGACGGACCTGAGGGAGGCCTTGCTACTAAGACTGAAGGTGTCAAAACACGGTGAACTACTTTCAGAGAAAGAAAGAGATTGGAGAAAGGAAAGAAGGCAAATAGCGGCCCCGGGAATCTGGGGAGACACAGGGCAGAGACAGGACTTGGAGGAAGGATGCAGTGAGTGTGTAGGTTTGATGACAGTTAAAGGGAGCAAATTCTCACCGATGATTCTCTCTTCCCATGAGGGGAGCTGTGAAGGTACCTGCTGAGGAGGACAGGAGTGATGGACAGAAGCTCCCAGGAGCATGGAGGGCATGGAACGGCCATGTGGCCAGTGCAAGGGGACACTGGTAGGACAACAGAGCCTGCAGTCAAGGCCCTGGGGAAGCCAGGGGTCCTAATTGGACAAGGCCCTGTCCACACGGCTGGGCAGCATCCCTCTGTCCATGTGTAGCAGCCCAGGGCTGGACCAGAATAAACAGATGTGTGATCTGACCCACAGTCAGGACTCTCTTAGGTGGGCAGGACACAGGGGCCAAGAAAAAGAAAAGTAACTAGAAAAGAACCTATCGGACTATCACTTCCTTAGATGAAGTGTCAAACAGTCAGTTGAGTCACTCAGTCAGTTGAGTCACTCAGTCGTGTCCAACTTTTTGTGACCCCATGGACTGCAGCATGCCAGGTTTCTCTGACCATCATCAACACCCAGAGCCTGCTCAAACTCATGTCCATCGAGTCACTGATGCCATCCAGCCATCTCATCCTCTATCATCCCCTTCTCCTCCTGCCTTCAATCTTTCCCAACATCAGGGTCTTTTCCAAGGAGTCAGTGCTTCGCATCAGGTGGCCAAAGTATTGGAGTTTCAGCTTCAGCATCAGTCCTTCCAATGAATATTCAGGACTGATTTCCTTTAGGATGGACTGGTTGGATCTCCTTGCAGTCCAAGGGACTCTCAAGAGTCTTCTCCAACACCATAGATCAAAAGCATCAATTCTTTGGTGCTCAGCTTTCTTTACAGTCCAACTCTCACATCCATACATGACTACTAGAAAAACCACAGCTTTGACTAGATAGACCTTTGTCAACCAAGTAATGTCTCTGCTTTTTAATACGCTTTCTAGGTTGGTCATAGCTTTTCTTCCAATGAGCAAGTGTCTTTTAATTTCATGGCTGCAGTCACCATCTGCAGTGATTCTGGAGCCCAAGAAAATAAAGTCTGTCATTGTTTCCATTGTTTCCCCATCTATTTGCCATGAACTGATGGGATCGGATGCCATGATCTTCATTTTTTGAATGTTGAGTTTTAAGCCAGCTTTTTCACTTTCCTCTTTCACTTCCATCAAGAGGCTCTTTAGTTCTTATTCACTTTCTGCCATAAGGGTGGTATCATATGCATATCTAAGGTTATTGATATTTCTCCTGGCAATCTTGATTCCAGCTTGCAATTCATCCAGCCCAGCATTTCTCATGATGTACTGTGCATATAAGTTAAATAAGCAGGGTGACAACACACAGTCCTGACGTACTCCTTTTCCTATTTGGAACCAGTCTGTTGTTTCATGTCCGATTCTAACTGTCACTTCTTGACCTGCACACAGATTTCTTAAGAGGCAGGTAAGGTGGTCTGGTAGTCCCATCTCTTGAAGAATTTTCCACAGTTTGTTGTGATCCACACAGTCAAAGGTTTTGGTGTAATCAATAAAGCAGATGTAGATGTTTTTCTGGAATTCTCCTGCTTTTCCGATGATCCAACAGACGTTGACAATTTGATCTCTGGTTCCTCTGCCTTTTCTAAATTTAGCTTGAACATCTGGAAGGTGCAATTGTGCGGTAGTTCGAGCATTCTTTGGTATTGTCTTTCTTTGGGATTGGAATGAAAAGTGACCTTTTCAAGTCCTGTGGCCACTGGTGAGTTTTCCAAACTTGCTGCCATACTGAGTGCAGCACTTTTCACAGCATTATCTTTTAGGATTTGAAATAGCTTAACTGGAATTCCATCACCTCCAATAGCTTTGTTCATAGTGATGCTTCCTAATGCTCACTTGACTTCGTACTCTAGGATGTCTGACTCTGGGTGAGTGATCACACCATCGTGGTTATCTGGGTCATGAAGATCTTTTTTGTATAGTTCTTCTGTGTATTCTTGCCACCTCTTCTTAATATCTTCTGCTTCTGTTAGGTCCATACCATTTCTGCCCTTTATTGTGCCCATCGTTGCATGAAATGTTCCCTTGGTATCTTTAATTTTCTTGAAGAGATCTCTAGTCTTTCCCATTCTATTGTTTTCCTCTATTTCTTTGCCTTGATCATCGAAGAAGGCTTTCTTATCTCTCCTTGTTACTCTTTGGAGCTCTGCATTCAAATGGATATATCTTTCCTTTTCTCCTTTGCCTTTAGCTTCTCTTCTTTTCTCAGCTACTTGTAAGGCCTCCTCAGACAACCATTTTGCCTTTTTGCATTTCTTTTTCTTGGGGATTGTTTTGATCACTGTCTCCTCTACCATGTCACAAACCTCCGTCCATAGTGAATGATGAAGTGAATAAATCACAGAGCACACACACTCTTCTTGATCACCACTGCAGGCAAGGATCTACAAGTTAATCTGTGTCAGGTGCCTGGAGACCCAGCAGGAAATTCCTCAGGGGACCAAAAGGTTTCCTGGGGACCTTTCTGATTTTCTTACCTGCTCCAGAGCTTCTCCTTCACTGAAGTCACCCTTTAGGTTTGTTCCAGATAACAGTTCATCCCAAGTAAACAGCAGTGAATCTGTGACTTCACCAAATGGATTAAAATCAATCAGCCACACCTTCCCCTGCAGAATAGAAAGAAAGCCCAGTAAGGATAAAATCAAGTCTGTAATCTGGCTTATCAGAAAGATCATCTCTTTTTACCCAAAATCATCTTATTTCATCTCAAAAATTGTATCACTGATTTCAAAAGATAGTTCCTCCAGGCTCCATCTGTGAAGGGCTGCCTGTCTAAGTGGAGTGGGCACAGAGCCCCAGGAAGTCCACCCAATAACACAGAGAGGAGACGGAAAACAGAGCCCACAAACACATGCATGCCGACTTCTGCTTTCAATCAATTTTACATCAAAAACCGAAGTGAGCAGTGGAAGAAAATGCTTTGTTTTGCTCTGAAGATTCTGAAATTATTCAGGTGTCTATCGTGGTTCATGGATTACAAAGAATAATGCTAGTTAAATGCTAATGATCTATTTTTACTTTTTATATGAAATATACAAATTCTGGGGGGCAATGGTAGCAGTGGTGCCTCTTACGACCTTACTTAAGATCCTTGAACATTCTCATCAATGTTGCCATCATGTTTAATACTGCCAGTCTATTTTCTCAAAGTCTGTTTACTTAAAATTGTATGGAATAATGTAGTAAGTAATAAAACCCAAGCAGGCAGAAGAGAAATCTCACAAAGTGGTCCCACCAAAGCAGCATCACTGGAATGCTCTCACAGGTTCTTTAATGATCTTTCAGGAGGCAGCCAGCAGTTCTCAGCACCAGCCCCCACCTCTGAGAGGCTGCTGCAAAGGTCTGAATTTTTTAAAGCTCACTAAAGATGTAAGAAAGGGCTTCCCCAACGGCTCAGCAGGTAAAGAATCTGCAACGCAGGCAACACTGCACTGCAGTGGAGACTCAGGTTCAATCCCTGGCTGGGGAAGATCCCCGGAGGAAGGCATGGCAACACATTCCAGAATTCTTGCCTGGAGAATCCCATGGACAGAGGAGCCTGGCAAGCTACATAGTCCAAAGGGTTGCAGAAGAATCGAACATGACTGAACAAAGATGTAAGAAAATGCTCAGCTGTCTTTCATTTCAATGTACTGGATTGGCCAGAAAGTTTGTTTGGGTTTTCCATACCGTCTTACAGACAAACCTGAATGAGCTTTTTGGCCAAGCCAATAATAACTGTTTTCTCTGCATGGTACAACTTGATGGCACATGAAAGGGAGATGCAAAATAAAAACAAATTAACCTTTCTAAGAAACTGCCATCTTCTCCTCTTCTGAGAGCAGTGATGGCCAGTGTGACAGATTTCAGCCTCAGGGAAGGAACACCTCTGGCCCAGCCAGACAAAGTTTGCAAGTGGCAAAGTGCTAACATAAAGGAGCTGGGGAGCCTGTGAAATCCTGCCAGGAAATTAACACCAACACATTTGATCATGGGGATGTATGTGACATTTACTAGATAAATGTTTCCTTGCAACTTTTATTTTTGCTCCTCTTGACTTTTCTCACTGAGACACTCAACATAATTGCACCATTCTGTTGGTAGTTTTTTTTCTGTAAATATGTAGCAATCGTGTCTCAGGCGGACGTGCATGTGTAAAATAACAAATGCCTATGGAGTTAAACTGCTGAGCCAGCACTACGAATCTAGCATTGTTTCTCATCTGTTTTCAAGGAAAAGTTTAAGAAAGACAAAGCATTTTATTAGGACTGGCTGCAAACTAGAAAGCTCAAAGTGGCAAAGAACCACTATGGGAAGTTTCTACCATGCACCATTTGGCCATGTTTTCTGGTTCACACAATCTCCAGCAGCAATCCTGCCTACAATTCCTTCTTGTCACTTGAGTTATATTCTCACTTCAATTTGGTGCCTGTTCCTCCTTGCTTCTCTGACTATGTGAAATCATGTCCACCATCAACCCATTCCATGGTATGACAGCAGCTTTGTTTTTTTTCAGTGATTACTCAAGATGTCTCTAATAAGCTGTCTGTTATTTTAACAAAATGAGTATTTTCTAAACTTTGAACCCTTTCAAACTTGAATTTTTATAACCAGTAAAATCATCTCATTATCAAAAGAAAAAAGGAAAAAAACTATTGCATCTGTTAGCATCAGAATATTTAGCTCTATAAACTAGAAGTATGCCACACTGTTAAAAAAAAAAAGAAAATCACCGCTGTTAGGACTGACAGCTGGCAGAATGTGTTCTGTAGTTTGGAAGCCATCCTCTAGTTTAAAGAAAAACAGACCAGCTGGAATCAGGCATAAAACCATCAAGATGAGGTTTTTACACCCATAACACGTTTTTTATGTCACACCTCAGGAACAAGACATCCTGAGAAACTCTGTTTTTAGGCAACCTATCAGGTAGGAGTGGTCACGCCGACCTTCCTAATACCTACCAACTGACCTACCCCCACTCCCCCACCATCCACCTAAACAAAACTCCATGCACCAAACACCGTGCTACACATGGGGGCATAAAGGTCAGTAACAGAGAGTCTGCTCACTGAAAGAGCTCTGTCCAGACCAGGACAGGTATACACACAAGTACACTGGTACACATTCACCACAGCACAGTGCATAAAAGACTAGGAACAAGCTAAACATTCATCCACAGGAAGTGATTCACCAAACCATACAGCACATCCACATAATCAAATACTATGTCCTTTAAGAAACCAGAAAGTCCTCTAAGATACACTGCTTTTAAAAAGTATAAAAAGCAAAAATAATAATAATAATAAATAAATAAATAATAAAAAGTATAAAAAGCAAGGAGCAAGGGCATTATCATATGCTAACCCTTGTGGTAGTAAACAAAGCTAGTGGAGGTGATGGAATTCCAGTTGACCTATTTCAAACCCTAAAAGATGATGCTGTGAAAGTGCTGCACTCAATATGCCAGCAAATTTGGAAAACTCAGCAGTGGCCACAGGACTGGAAAAGGTCAGTTTTCATTCCAATCCCAAAGAAAGGCAATGCCAAAGAATGTTCAGACTACTGCACAACTGCACTCATCTCACATGCTAGCAAAGTAATGCTCAAAATTCTCCAAGTCAGGCTTCAACAGTACGTGAACCGTGAACTTCCAGATGTTCAATCTGGATTTAGAAAAGGCAGAGGAACCAGAGATCAAATTGCCAACATCCGCTGGATCACTGAAAAAGCGAGAGAGTTCCAGAAAAACATCTATTTCTGCTTTATTGACTATGCCAATGCCTTTGACTGTGTGGATCACAACAAACTGTGGAAAATTCTTCAAGAGATGGGAATACCAGACAGACCACGTTACCTGTCTCCTGAGAAATCTGTATGCAGGTCAAGAAGCAACAGTTAGAATCGGACATGGATCAACAGACTGGTTCCAAAGAGGAAAAGGAGTATGTCAAGGCTGTATGTTGTCTCCCTGATTATTTAACTTATATGCAGAGTACATCATGAGAAACGTTGGGCCAGATGAAACACAAGCTGAAATCAAGATTGCTTGGAGAGATATCAATAACCTCAGATGTGCAGATGACATCACCCTTAAGGCAGAAAGCAAAGAAGAACTAAAGAGCCTCTTTATGAAAGTGAAAGAGGAAAGTGAAAAAGCTGGCTTAAAACTCAACACTCAAAAAATGAAGATCATGGCATCCGGTCCCATCACTTCATGGCAAATAGAGGGGGAAACAATGGAAGCAGTGACAGACTTTATTTTCTTGGGCTCCAATCACTGCAGATGGTGACTACAGCCATGGAATTAAAAGACGCTTGCTCCTTGGAAGAAAAGCTATGACCAACCTAGACAGCATATTAAAAAGCAGACATTACTTAGGCAACAAAGGTCAGTCTAGTCAAAGCTGTGGTTTTTCTAGTAGTCATGTATGGATGTGAGAGTTGGACTATAAAGAAAGCTGAGCACCAAAGAATTGATGCTTTTGAACTGTGGTGTTGGAGAAGACTCTTGAGAGTCCCTTGGACTGCAAGGAGATCCAACCAGTCCATCCTAAAGGAAATCAGTCCTGAATATTCACTGGAGGGACTGATGCTGAAACCGAAACTCCAATACTCTGGCCACCTGATGTAAGAACTGACTCATTGGAAAAGATCCTGATGTTGGGAAAGACTGAAGGCAGGAAAAGGGGACGACAGAGGATGAGATGGCTAGATGGCATCAGTGACTTGATGGACATGAGTTTGAGCAGGCTCTGGGTGTTGGGTGATGGACAGAGAAACTTGGAGTGCTACAGTCCATGGGGTCATGAAGAGTCGGACACGACTGAACGACTAAACTCAACTGAACTCTTGTGTAAACAAAGATGGGGAAAAATAAGTTGCTGCTTGTTTTTGCATCAAGAAATACTGGAAGGATACATAAGAAATTAACAACCTAGATTGCAGAGGCAGAAGGGTTAGAATCAGACCTTCCATGTATGTTTTCACAGCAATAGCATTAACAAGCTTAGTCTAACAAACGTCTACAGAATACTTTGCACGTTAAATATTGTACTTTCCTTCTCAATCATACATAAAACAGAACCAGAAAAGTGACTAGACTGCAGATTCATTCTGAATAATATCAAAGACTCTAGATATTTATCCCAAAAAGCAACAAAATTAATAACAAGAAAATAACCATGACCGAAAGGAATACATAAGGGGACCCGAATCGCTTTTCAAACATCTAAAGTAGTTACTCTAAATTCTAGTTATGAATTGTTATCACTTGTGGAGCTTCTTTATACACATTCCAAGGCCTTATCCCAGACCTCCTGCATGGGGGCAGGGTCATGGCTCTGACACGTAGAGTGGTTAGACTCTCTCGGCACCGAGTCCTCCTGCCCAGCAACTGCCCTGACACAGACATGCAGGGTCGCCAAGCCGAGACACACTCCACTTGTACTTCAGATCAGAGATCACCATACAAAGTTAGTTTTCTCCCAAGAATAGCCATAAATCCTGCATTCCCAACAGTGTCTGAGATGGTGACTCAAGTGCCATTGATTGAAAGCAAATGAGTTTCACATCCTAGCCGGCATCTCGTCTCAGAAACTGTCAGGATGTTTACACTGGCCTGGTTCCC